AACGCTGGTACAAAAGGAATCATTTCGGGTTTCTATAAATAAACCACCAAACTTGGTCATTGAACTCATCCACCATTCAACCTTCTTTCTTGAAAAAAAACCATTGATCCTTCATTCTTCTCTTTGGCCACCCAAAACTATTTCGCCTTCATCGATTCCTCTGATAGAGAAGCTTATGAGAGGGAAAGGGAAGCTGATGAGAGGTAATGGGATTATGAGTGCCAATTTGAGCGTGAACGTGTTCAGATGTTCGGTGTTTGCGCAAACCATCCTTGCCAGCATAAAGCAACTTCATCTCCTGACAGTTCATCAACACGAAAAACAGTGAGACATATAAAGAAAGACGTTCACAAGCGCTTGATGCAAGACTATTTCAACCCAAATCCAACCTAGCGATGCTAAGGACTTCACAAGGAGATATCGGATGGCAGTGCCTTATTCAACCGAGTCATCAACGATGTTGTTCAGTACGATGACTACTTCAAGCAAGGGGATAGATGATGTCGGTCGCAACTCATTCTCCCCACATCAGAAGCTGACTAATGCGTTTCGCATGCTTGCTTATGGATGCTAGCAAACTCTTTGGATAAGTCATGTCGAATGGCTGAGAGCACCGTACTGTTGTGTCTGAGGAAATTCTACTCGACTATCACCAACATTTATGGTGCTCAATACTTGCGTGCACAAACAATAGATGATATTTGTCGCCTCCTTCATCATGTTGCACAACGTGGCTTTCCGGACATGATTGATTATATTTTTTGCATGCACTAGGAGTGGAAGAACTTGTCTAACTAGGTGGGCAGGCCAATTCACTGGGCACAAGAAGAAACCAATCGTTGTCCTCAAAGCTGTGGCGTCATACAACACATGGTTTGGCATGCCCTCTTTAGAACGCCTAGATCAAACAATGATATCAATACTCTTGGAGTGTCCCCATTATTCAATCAAGCAGTTCGAGGGCTGGTTCCCATGGTCAGTTATGAGGTAAATGGTCAAATGTACCATCAATGTTATTACTTGGCTGGCGAAATTTATCCTGAGTGGGATACATTTGTGAAGACTATTAGCAATCCAAGTAACCAAAAAAAAGTTGTTTGCAAGGTGTCAAGAGGCTTACCAGAAAGATGTTGAGAGGGCCTTTGGCATACTTCAACAAAGATGAGCCAATGTTAGGGGGTCGAGTCGTCTTTGGGAGGCGTAAACACTTCGTGATATCATGTTAACTTGTATTATTATGCATAATATGATAGTGAAAGATCATTGATACGAGTATGGGGATGGAAAAGAGGTCAACATTGAGTACGAGAGTAATCCAATTGTCGAAATAAAGAAAGTGGTACCCTAATGTATTACCTATGTTTTCCTAGCGTATTTTATATGTTATCTTAATGTATTTCCTTGTTATTTGCAATAAAGAAGGTACTTGCATTAGCAGTTGAAGAAAAGCATACATCAAGAAATAAACTACATGAAAATTACAAGGAAAAACGTACAACAAACATAAATCAATTGCATGAAAATTACAAGGAAAAACGTACATCAAACAATAAATCAACTTCATGAAAATTAGAAGGAAACGAGCACATCAAACATAAGACAAAACTACATAAAGATTACATATAAGGATCATCTTGGTAAGAAGCCACAATGTCATCATTTTGTCTTTGATACCAAGCTCGAGATCAATGACTCATTTGAGAAAGATCTTTATTCATTACCATCATCTCATGTTTATTCTTTTCCTTTAATTTCTTTGCTCTATCTCTTGCTTCTCTTTCAACTTCGCATTCCTCTATATCGAGTACTATTCTCGTGTGTGTTCAAATTATCCACTAATTTGGTCATACTCTTGTCCCAACTTTCTGATTCTTCTTCTTTTGTTTTTCCCAGCCTTTGGGAAGGTTGATCACAAAGGAGTAGCTTGAACGTCGGGGCTATCACTCTCGTTGGATGGCATGCCCGATGAAGATCCACCTATTGGTGGAATGGGTGGCACAGGGGAAGTAAATTGATGCAAAATCTTTGGAGAATGTTGAAATATCTCCCAACAATGTTGCAAATTGAAAGCCTTTCCGGTGTCTACCTTGAAAATATTTTAAGCTCGTTCAACCTATACAATTTAAAAAGTATTTTTAACTAATATGAACAAGCTAATCAATTAAAAAATTAAATGTATAATAATTCTTAGTTGCACTTCACTAACCACATCGTTGATGTTTTCTCCACTCACTGGTGTCACGCTTGCTCTCCTTGATACTGCATTTCAGGAGAATTGGGGAAGGATACCACTAAAATCAACTTAGGGCACTGGATACCACGTAAGTCGATTAAATGTGCATCCTTCTATTTTCACATTACATCATCATCCACTCAGACAATAAAAGAACCCAAATTCTTACTGGCACCTGAATCCTTTGAATTGCAATTTTGTTGGGAGATGAAGAGGTTGATTTGGGGGAGTCATTCGCCCCAACAGCCCTCGTCATACCGTTGTTTTGTTCTCCGTAAGACTTAACGGAGTTGTGAGGAAGATGAAGAGGTTATCACATTTTGCAAGAGAGCATTAGGGGTTTGGGTTCTTATTATTATTATTATTATTATTATTATTATTATTATTATTATTTTGTCCGTATAAATGGAAGAATTTTATGGGTGATGTGGCAAAAAAAAAATAAAGTGACTCATGAGCTTATGTGGTATGTGGAATACGATGAGTTGGTTTTTTTAAAAACTCCGTTAGTGAAATAGACGGAAAAGTGGAAGGACACACATTTACTTGACTTAGATGGTATTTGATGCACTAAACACAAAATTCAATGATATGGAGTGCATTTCTCTTCTCTCTACATCCACAAACCAGAGTGTGTTTTTGGGACTAACTCCTGTGGGAAAGATGTGATTCAAGGAGCAATAAGTTGTCTTCCTATGTCGACAAATTCTCCAATTTATGTCTATTTGGATATGTCAACAAATCAATAATCTCTAATTCATTAGGTTGGGTATTGGAATTTTTTTTGCGTTCCACTGATTGACAGAACCTGCTCGCATCACTACAGTCTGCCAGCCTGACCCCCATTTTGTTCGGGATCTTCGAAATTCACATTCTCTTTTGTTTGGCCTCCAAATGTTCTCCCTTTTGATTCCATGTGGTTGTGCATTGATTCGCTAGTATGTCAGGTTCTGAAAACCACATAAATTAACCTCCAAAAGGCATCAAAAGCATACAAATGCTCCAAGAAACTATAAAACAAACAAATAATCTCCCCAGACTTTAGTTCGTCGGAAGTGGCTCATTATCAACTTACGAGGTCAATAGCAATAGAAGACTCTGAGCACATCCTTGGAGGCATTACCCATTTTGTCCTTCCTGTGGATTAGTGAATCTAGGACAAAGCGAACATTAATGAAAAGAGAGACTCTAAAATGTCACGGTAGGGTGATTACTCAAACCTTCTCCTTCTCTAAAAAACCTTAACATCTTTATTTCGTTAGGCTCAAAGGGGATCTCATGACCTGAATAGGAGTATCAATTGTTTTGGCGATTTCGTTACTTTCAACTCTTCTATCAAGTGCATGCTCACGGTTAATGTATAGAAGGGTGTCAACAACTCTATCCATGCCCATATGTTCTTAAAGTGGCTTCCCAATCTTCGGGGGAATTGTTCTTGAGGGTGTTCCAACTTTGGACAAGCGTGAACAAATTCTCAATTTGTGCCTAAAACACCACATATTCAATGAGGGGTTACCTCAACATGAGAGTGTTTTTCTTGTCCCCCATCTACTTTCGATTATACATTAATATCATTGGTTAAAATTGGTTCTTCTATCTTTCCTGCATATTTTGTGATCATGAACACCAATGAATCTGATGCTACCTGGACTCTTGGACGACCATTCTTAGCAACCATTCTCCTCATAGACCGATAATTCCACTCATGCTTTAATACTCGATTGACACATTTTTCACACCATATTTTTATTTCTTTTAAGGGGTTGTTTTCACTCGGATTGACTTGCTCATCCCAAGTCGTCAATCAACTCATATATTGTTGACAACGTATATAGAAGGCAAGGAAGTGTAAACTGTAAACCCTTCAACAACCAACTCATTCCCCAGAAGTATTAACTTTAGTTGCGTTCATTGATCTCAAATCATACTGCTCGATCCACATGGAAACTGCGACTAGCCGCCCTTCTCAACCTAGGGGTATCACGATGAAACTTTTTCTTCGATGGTCGGATAGACAGAATTCTTTGTCGAGCAGACGAGCACCAATTGTAGCAGAAGACCATGCCATCCTTCACTCAATCAAGATGGAGCTTGTTGATAATACCCCTCATTCTATTCTATCATAATGCAAGACTGTTGCAAAAGCTCTAGGGAAGAACCCAGATTACCTTGCTTCTACTTTCCATCTATTCTAAGTGCAAAAATTCTTATATACCTCCATTTTTTAAAGATTGTTGCAGAACAGTGACAACCAATTTTTTTAAGATTACTGACCCTATATATACCTCCATTTTGGAAGACTCGGTGGTTGATATAAAGAATGACCAAGTCATCAGAACTTATCTATCTCCTTGGCCATGAACCAATTGGAAAATGGGATCACTAAATTCAGCAATATGCAAACACTTGGGATATTTTTGCATTCATTTGCAGAGTTGAATACCGTCTTTGGATTTTGGGGGAGTCATTTCACTACAGTTATGAACAAAAACCCCGAATCTATACACGTGCAAAGGAGATAATGATGCAGCAAATGGTTATTGAAAGCAACACTCAACTTGCAATGGAGTTAAACTAATGTTGATGGTTTGCAGTGCAAAGAGTCTTGAACAGAGAAGGTTTCGGCGTAGTTTGGAATGAAGTTTAATATACAGCCTACCCCGAAGATTGACGACACAAGGGCAAATCGAAACAGAAAGCAACAAATGCAAGAGTTATAGTTCTTTTCCCAGTGATTCTAACATCTGACCATGGGTGTGGATTTTATTCATGTTTGTCCAGTGAGAATAAATGCTTGAAGAAGGCTTTGTGCTGCCTGGGTTTCATCAGGTGTTCCAGATATAACAATAATCATGTCACTCGATCCTACACGAGGTTCATGCACTATAACCTTGGCACCTGAGATCTGATTAAGACGACAAGATAAGTGGCTAATTCATTTCAGTTCAGATTTACAAGTAAGAATGGACATATGTTGGTAACTTTAAATGCTTGTCTGCTCTATTATTCTTTTAAGACTTCAACTGGAAGCAAGCACGAATTTCATCTTGTTATACTTGCTTGTGTGTACAATTTCTTGGTAAGATTGACTCGCATGCTAATGCACAATAGCTCGCAATGAAAACACGAATATCAGCATTATGCATTTTATAGCATTGGAATTCCCTATTTTATATGGCTTCTTCTCTAGAACTACAAGATAATAACAACAACCAGCTCTTGGTGTTGAACGTCTCAGTGTCTTCGATCATGCCTCATAGTTAAATCTCGACATAGTTTTGAGTTCAACATTCGGCATTCGTGTTTAGTTATTTCTGTACTTCTTGAGTTTACAGCAACAATATTCTTGTGTTAATAGATTAGACTCTGGTTATAAAGGTTGTAACCTTAGCGATTGCCCAATTTACCGTCGCTACCCAGCTTTTAAGCTCAAAGCACAGTTTGATAAGAATAAAAATAGATGCCTTTTCTGTTTGTTTGTTTGTTTGTTTTGACATTGATCTTTCTTTTGCTGTTTTTTTTACTCTTAATTGATTGTTTAACATAAAGTCTACCGAAGTAAAGACAGTCTAGATTTTATATAAGTCTATATACTGTGCAAGACACCTACCTTCTGAACATAATGATGATATTCACAGAAGCTGGACCATCGAGGATAAGTATAAAGACAGGCTTACTTATTTAATCCATTTGATAATACACTTAAAACAAGGAAAAATCAATGGGAAAGAATGAGAAAGTGAAGAGGTACCTGTCTCAAACGAACCAGATTGTTCCCATTTTCACCATACACACAGCCGATAATGCTTTCAGGTACCGCAATCTCCACAGTTGTATTTGTGAAAATTGCAGACTTGCTGGAACTAAGTACAAACAGATGACACATTAAAGATTTTATGATATTTTTTATAAATATCAATGACTGGTTGTTTATCCAACATAAGTTTCTAGCTAATAGATATGACAAAAGGTAGGTAAAAAGAATTCACTCATCAATCATAATTCACACTAGATTTCTTCCTCTAGGATGCAAAAATTCAATGAAAATGTAATGTGAAATCTTCTCATCCTACACCATGACATTTTAATTTATGGACATAATAACTTGCTAAAGAATGAACAAAAACATCAAAGAACAATGGTGAGATAGACAGTGGAAATTTCAGCACTGGAGATATTGATAGCATCACTATCTTTAATTCCAGGAACTAAGTATTTTTACCAACCTGGCCAGGTGAAGGCCTCCTTTGAAGGAAGATAATCCTCTGCTAACATCAGCAAAGCCTCTTGTATTTTCCCCGATTTTCATCTGTTTACCAAAAGCAAACCATACAAAAATGGGAGACTAATCTTAACTAATCATGTAAGTTTACAGCGTTAGACCATAAAACCACAGCATCCACAAGAGAAACAGTGGGGAGAGGACACTTGACCTCAGGCGTCCACGTCTTTGGGGACAGGGGTCGATCCTGAACATGAGAAAAACCTAGATGATCCAAACTCTGTGCAAGATTAGAATGTCGACCTAAACTATGAGAAGTGCCAACTGAAAACTGTGAGGAAAGAGGAATGGGATCTGTCAGTTGATCTCTTAATCGGTCTCTAGAATGATCCCTAATTGGGTCTCTGAATGAACCCCCAAGTGGCTCCCTCAATGGCTCTATGAAAGATTCCCTCAGTTGCTCTCCTGAAGGATAATTATAGGGATCCGTGAAAGATTTCCTTGATCGATCCCCCAAATGGTACCTATATGGGTCCGTGAAATATTCCCCTGACGAGTCCCCTGAAGAATGCCTATACGGGTCCGAGAAAGATTCCCTTGGGGGGGTCCCCCGAAGGATACTTATACTGGTCTATGAAAGATTCCCTTGATGGCCCCCTTAATGGTTCCCTTAGAGGGATCCTCGATATGTTCGTTTGACTTTCACAGGCATTGGTTCCAGTTGATATAGGAGTCCTTGTCATAGAAGTGCTCCGTAAACTCGAGAACAGGTTGTCTCGGAGCCTGCCAGTAACATGGTACATTGCATCTCTTACCTTGATCAAATCTCCTGAAATCTGTTTAACATGCAAAGGCAGCAAATACCCAGAAACTCAAAAGCAGTTGCACAATGCAATAGCATGCTATTATACACAACGTCAAAGACTTGTCACTTTATATATTAAACTCAAAAGGATTTAATATATGCCAGGAATATGAAACCATAGGCCGGACCATAAAACTATGGAACCAGAGCCCAACTAAATGGCTTGCTGTATATCAGCCAGTTAACCAGTGCCCAGCTTCATTGTTAGTGATTATTTAGGTCATCTAATTCATTATTGTTCACTGATCCATTGCTCGAAATAAATGAAATAAGCATCTATAAGCAGGGACCCACTAGAGATGTCTCCATCTCCAAACTACTCCATTGTATTAGAGTTAATGTTTTTATTGGCGGTAAGGATATTATTGGGAGGAAAGTTTTAGATTTTTAAAATGACAAAAGCAGCATGACTGAAGGTTCCACTAGTTTTCCCTCAGTATAAGCAACCAAATCTTATGCCATCCACAACAGTGGTACATATGCCACTCAACTATACTCTTATATGGAGGCAGAGTTCTAAAAAGCGGGCCTAGGCACTCTCCTTGGCTATAAGCGGTGTTGAAGGCGTTCCCAGTGCTTCTACAATAAGAAGCTATCATTCAAGGCGACAAGAAGAGGGAGGAATCATGGTTGATGCGGGGCCAGGATGAAGTTTGAAACTTAAACAAAAGGACTCTAATTGAAACCACACACCAATTCTCTCTTCTCCCTCTCGATCTGCTGTTGTACCGCTGGGCCTATTTTTTTTTTCTTTCTATCTTTGCTTGTTTATGGGATTTGGGGGCTGGTTTTCACCTAGACTTAGAGATTTTATCCTTATGTGAGGAATGAGTTGCGAGATTGGAAGGGGTGTCTTCCTTTTTGTTTTGGTGTAGAGACGTCCACTCCCTAAGGAAGTTTCTTGTTGTCATTTTTGTTCCCTCTTTGTATATTCCTTTGAATGTCTTTCTTTTCCTCTTCCGTTTAGATTTTTGGTTTTTTGTTACTAGCCCTTTGCTATTTTTATTTCCATCGCCTAGGCGCGTCTAGATGGCGCTTAAGCAAGCCAGTCGCTAGGCAGGTTCCCAATGTCTGTCTTAAGCCTAATGCTTTCTTGAACCTTGTAAGCAGGTATTATGTGCAACCTCAACCAAAAGAAACTCAGCCAAAGTAAAGATGGATGGTATGCAAGCTGTTTACAGAACAAGAAATATATCCTTAGATGACCACATAAAAGCAGGAACACATCCACCAAGCCGGAAACAATGAAATCAACAAGTAGATTATATTGTACCTGTATGACTTGATCACTCTTTGGAACACACATTGGCAACTGTTGTCCACGTCCTAATACCCGTATGCTAGCACTAGTAACCTTGCACATTTCTGAAATTATCACCCCTCCTTTCCCCAACAGACAACCAACCCGGTTTGTTGAGACTACCATCCTGGCTGTGATAGAGGATCCGTTAAGAGAGCCTTCCAGCCGCTTTTCAATCCCAACATCCACAATTCTTGTGAAAACGAGGACTGCCGCCTTCTGTGCAGCAGAGTATCGACATTCTGGATTCTGCAGCAGAAGATTCCAAACATGGCATGCATTAACATAAAACATATGATGACATGAATAAGTATAAGAGGATCAAGCACATGATTGCTAACCTCTGATGCTGCAACAGTGATTAATCGTTCATCACAATCAGACACTGTAGGTCCAATAATTACTGAAGCACCTGTCTCATTTTGAAGAGCCTGGATAATGTTGCCACCCTTTCCAATGACACCCCCAACTCTATCACTTGAACAAGGGATTCTAAAAGAAACTTCTTCTTCCAATTCCCTTGTTTCCTGGTTGGGCGGCTTTTCAGATTCCAATGACAAAGAATGACCTCCTAAAATGCAAGATGTAGAGATATTTGGTGTGGCAGCTAGAAGTGAGGTATGTTGTGACAGTACATCCAACCGCGCTTCAGGGAAATATTCTTGAGGAACCACCTCAACAGCTTTGCTGCCAGTCATTCTTGTCATATCAAATAGTTGAGAATCTTGAAGACAGCGAGAGACGGCAACCAGTGCCTTCTTCATCCCTATAACTTCCCCTTCAATCTGAAATTGTGAAATAAATATATAACTCATTAAAACAGTAGCAATTAACCAGATGAAGTGTAGACATTGACAATATTACAGAAACTAGATCCTCGCTTAAGCAATTACCATGCTACATCAATTATTGAATGTTGAACCAAACATTAGAATACAAGCCAGGAAACACACATTCTTACATGCCGTTGTCCTATTTTCCCGACTTTCAACAATCAATATGGGATCCTACCCATCTCAACCAAGTAGCTCAACGAATCATATTCAACATGGCTAGTTTGGAACACAGATTACATATCTTCAACTCTTTCTAAATCTTCAACTGCCTGTGAGTAGTTGAGCTCTGACTGAACCCTACCCCATATAACAACATATCAAATTCCATAGAAAGAGATACATCTCACAACCCCAGAGATCTCTGTGCCAAACATCTGAGAAACGATTAAAATTAACAGACTCGAAATCAATCAACAATCAGAACCAGCCGCAAGAAAATGAATTTCCAGCACATAAACGTTGAATCAAGCCTACAAAGTCGAGTTCTTTCTTTCTTTTTGGTGAACATAAAGTCGAGTTCTTCAAGAAAAATGTAGTAAATTCAAAGGCGAGAGAAAAGAAACGTTTACCTCAATCATCTCCTCCGTTGAAGCAGCACAAAGAGGTAGCTTATCCCTCATAACCTTGATTCTAGCACCACAATCCTTCTGTATCTTCTACACAACCTTCCCTCCCTTGCCAATCACAGACCCAACATGGATCCCATCCGCCAACAATTTACAGGACACCACCCTTCCTACTGGAATACTTCCCCCATCCGTCTCGGCAGCTACTTCCAGAATCCGCTCGGACATCCTGACCAAAGCTTCCTGGGCTTTGGAATAATCAATTTCACCACTATTGACAACACCGGGAGCGACTACGGAGATGACTCTGTCGGGGCACTCGGCCGGAGCATCCTCAACACGGATCTTGGCGCCGGTCTGCTGCTGGAGCTGCTTGACTATGCTGCCGGACTTGCCAATCACGCCTCCGACGCGAGAGGAGTGGCAGAGGAGGAGGAAGCACACGTGGCCAGGAGGCACGGACAGCTGATGCTGATGTTGATTCGGAGATGGAGAAAGGTGCTTCAACCGCTTGTTGGGGTCGGACATTCCTCCAGCAGCGAGATGAATGGTTCGTTTGGCAGGAAGGGAGAGATATGTAATGTCCATATCCCTCTCCTCCTCCTCCTCCTCCTCCTCTTCCTACTTCTCTGTGTCGGATTCTGAGCTAATTGGTACGGCTCCTCTTCGTCTCCCTGCGGAATCTTTGCTCCTAAACCTATCTGTACGTTACGACTTTGGGGAATTTGGAGAAAAGAAAAGCCGGGGAAATCCTAATCGTCGACGGCAGCAAGTGACGGAAGACCAATGCCTCTTTTTCTTTTCTTTTTTTCAAGGCTTAGTAAGTAATAATTATATACTTACCGATAAATTGCAAGCTTGATCACTGATATTATTAAATATTTCACGATTTCTCACTAAAATTATTGGTAAATTACAAGAATGGTCATTGGAAGTTAAAAAGTTCATATTTGGTCACTAAAAGTATTTTATTTCATTCATAGTCACTAAAAGTGGTTAAATCTTAAATGTAGAAGTGGGCATCCGGTTCGATAAACCCGAACCATTTCGAACTGAATCGAAACCGAACCTAAGCAAAAAAAGCTCACCTACGAGTCGAAAATCAATCAAATCTCCACTGGCTTTGTTTATTTGGTTCGGAATGAACCGATCCGAATTCCTGATCATCGAATCGAACTCCCGATCCCCTCATCTCCCGTACATGTCCAACTCCTCCACTTTTTCTACGCAAAAGGAGGAAGGAAGTCTCCAGACCAGAGACAGACCCGAGCTTCCCAGTCCACTCTCTCGACTTCTCTCAACTCTGAAGCTCGATTGTTCTGAGCCTCCCCCTACCTCCCTCCCTTACCTCTCTTCTTCCATTGACTCAACTTCGGTCGGCAACCGTCGTCGTGTCAACTCCGGGATCTGGCGAAGGGCAAGTGGCGCTCTCATGTCTTGAACGAAGAAGGGAGAAGGATGAATCGGCTCTATGCACCGTCGTTGAACTTCGTTGCTTCCTCAACTCTCGTCTTCTAGAACTCCGAATCGGCTCTCATGTCTCGAAGGGCAAAGGGAAAACAACGAATCGGCTCTGGAATCTGGTGAATGGCGAAGGTCGAATCGACTCCATGCAACGTAGGCCTCCACTGATTTCCTTCGTCTCCTTCCTCCAATTCCTTACCAATACAATAGCACAAGTCGGCGACAGTCAAAACCTCTATTAAATCAGTCTCAATTTCCGCTGTCACTGCACAAACTCTTTTTCCCTCGCACCCGCATCTGTATTCTTCTGGCAAGCTTCGACAGTCTGGTTGTGAAGTGTGAAATCAACACCGTGTTACTAGTGTTGTATCCGGCCCGTTGGCCGGTTTGTGGTCATTTGGCTATTTTTTTAGTTAAACGTAGGTGGTTCGATTTTTAGTATTGTGCACTGGTGGTACAAAAAAGTACTTTGATAGTTTATGCTTTTTAGTGCCCATTAACTTTATAATTTTATTAAATTTGTATTTCATTTTATACTTAACTATAAGAAGTTTAAGTTAGACAACGAATGAAATGAAAAGCTATCTGGAATTATATTCATGCCTTGAGATATTAAACATAAAAAAAATCAACAAAAATCTGTATCTTCGTTATATGTGAATAATTAGCTTGCAATGAAGCTTTGAAAATTTTATTACTATTTTAATTTAAATATTGTTGATTGTCATCTATTGAAATAATGTACATAATACTACTATAGATGTATAACATTTAAATAGTTTAAAGATACAAAAATTCGAGGAGAAAAAAAATGTCATATGGAAACTGATTATTTGGACAATTATGTAAAGCAAATCCAAAAATATTAGTATAGATGTATTAAATTTATATTTTTTTTCGTTGAATCAGTAGCAATTGTATTACCAAACTATATGAAAATAACATATAGTGCCCGATACAACGAAAGGATTACTCAAGACAAGTAACCCTGCAGAGAAGGGAACAAACTCCCCTCACAAACCCACCTTACTGCACTAAACTCTCCCACCCAGACTATAGGAAACCAATAGCCACCAGATCAGACTGTAAGTCACTGTCAACACTCCCCAAATACAATAGATCAGAAGTAATTAGCCTACTGAGAGTTGCAGCATCCCTTGGAGCAGTTTGATGCTGTCGATTACATCTTTCACGCCACAGATATGCGAAATAGGCACACCAGAAGACACCAATTACCCTCCCAATCGAGGAACTCTTCATGCTCAAAGCCACAGCAACCTGCACATTCTCTTGCCAACTCGATCTACAGAGCAGATGACCTCCTCTCCAGCAAGAAATAACCTGCATTGAATAAGGACACTGAAAAAACAAGTGCTCCCTAGTCTCCAAGGCCCCCCTGCAAAGCAAGCATGAGCCATCCACGATCTTACCCCACCTTACTAGCTTGTCCCTGGTAGTAGTACCATCCATCAAGACCAGCCAAGTGATCAAACTGTTGTTAGGCAGATGCTTTTTACCGCAGACCAGCTTTGACCAATCCACTTGTTGATGTTCCACACGCAGAGTATTCCATACAGTAGATACCTTATAAACAAGCATCAGCTTACCATCCCAACTAGGAGTGTCACCAGCCATTGTTAGATGAGCCTGCAGTAAAGGTCGAATCTTGAGGACCTTTCTCCATGCCCAAGAACTACTTGGACTCACATTCATGGTCCAAACACTACCCTGCTTGACTCTGTATTTCCACATCCAAGCCACCCAAATTGCACCACTTTTCATCATAAGAAGCCAAATCATTCGAATAGTACATGCTCTATTCCAAGCCAAGAGATCCTTTATGCCCAGTCCCCCCTCACCCTTTGGTCGAGCCAATCTCTCCCAGCCAATTTTAGCTCTACCCTCATTACCCCCATGCCAAAGAAACCTTGAACATACAGAATACACCTGCTTTAGAACCTTTTTGGGAAGGAGGAAAACCTGCATCCAATATTGCAGGATGCCCATGAAAACAGAGTTAATCAACTCAAGTCTACCTGCATAATTCAATTTCTTTGCACACCAAGTCCCAATCTTCTGAGTGATTTTCTCAACCAATTTATCACAATCAGCCGAGGAAAGCTTCCCTGAAAATAATGGCTTTTGAAAGAGATAAAAATGAAAAATATTAGCAAAAGAATATTTTGACTTGAAATGGCTTTTGTAAGTTATTCAATCATTTGAACTTTAGTTATCATAATTCAAACTTAATCTTTAACAATATGCTCATATTTTTAAATATTTTATTGACTATATCCTATATTTTTAAAATCGGAGCGGTTGTCGGATGGAAAATTTCAGTGACTCATGATTAATGGTTTATCATTATACAACTATTTCCATTGGACCATATTTTACGTTTAATAATTTTCTAATAAAACATATCTCTACTTTAAGCAATTACATAAAGAGTAAAAAAAATTGATTTTTTTGTCTAATCTAATTCCACCCAAATATCTAGTCGATACGATATGGATGGAATTATTGTTTAACATATGACTAAACATGTGATATTACCTTTCAAAATTTAATGTAAAAATTAGACATGCTAATATGAAAATTAAAAGAATTAAAAACAATATAAATTGATTGTATTTTGCCAAGATTTCCCATTTTTCTTCCTCTTCATGTTTGCCGAAATCACTGTGAAATTAAGATTCTAAAACTTTTGAAGGTTGATGCTTGGTTTATCTGTTTAACGTAAAACCCTAATGCAAAAAGCCTATTCAGAAGGAACCTCTTCCCAAACATCCACGCCACAACGATATATCATCTTTGTCATCTCATAATCCAACTCGCAAGCATTATCTCATTTAGGAGTTAAAGAACTTTAGATAGCCTCTGTTTTTTCCTTAACCACACAAAATAAATCTACACATAGCAAAATTTAAATAATTATTATGTAGCATTTACCTTAAAACAAATCTTTTTTCCCTTAATTCTAATCGCATTTACTAAAAAGAAAACCAAAAGTCCAATAATAATGAGTGATCCTTGAATGTTTGAAAAATTGTCAAAGTTGCCCTTCCACCAAATAAGGGGAACCAATCAAAGTGCAAGGTGGCAACAATGACATAGAGTGAAGTGCATAATATATTGTGCAGATGTAGATTCAAGTATGACCCAGGCCTGGAGCTTTAACGTGAAAAATCTTTGAACTGGAGGCGAGTTGCCGTTAGAACGACATCGTATAGGAGGAGTAAGCTAGCAGTCAACAGTTCGGCCAAACCCGAGCCAAACTGGGGATATTTTGGTGTGGAATGTACCGAACCAAAACAATGTTCGGACACAATACGGCTTGGATAGGAAGGGTGGTTTTGGTTTGAGTTTGTTCGGGTTTGGAAAACCAAACCGACCGAATGTCCACCCCTACGTTTCACGTTTGGTCACTCTCCCTAGTCTTTGTCAGCCTTCGTTAACAGTGTCAGTGTTTTGCTAATCTGGCTAAAAGAAATGCTGATTCACTCATTTTTAATCTCACACGTCAGACGCTCTACATAACCCAACCTAATTCACCCTAACCCAACTCTACTCAGCACGACCCAACCCCATCCACTTTCCTACCACCACCACCTGCCATCTCTGCCTTGCACCATCGCGGCCTTGATGCCACTCTCCTCCTCCTCCAGTCCTCCTCCTCTACGACCTCCATAGCAACCTAGACTTGCTAGACATCACCCCTTACAAACACCTTGCATTTCACCAACCACATACCCGTCTATCACATGCCTCTAATTTCCGCTACCCACAAACTATAAAAACGCCACCTCTTTTTGGAATACATGGCAGCAGCTCCAGCTCCGAGGAATTCTCCTAATCCAAATCACTGCTCGCAACCATCGTCACCGTATCCGAGGAAATCGAGCTTTCCATCAAAGTGGGATTTCAAATGTCACTTTTTGTACTAAAATAAAGTTAATATACTATATATGAATATGATTTTAAGGTTATAAAATCATTTATGGTATTAATTTATAATATATAATTTTAAAAAATTATTAAATTATCAAATAATCAATAACTATTATAAATTATTAATTTCACCATCCCTACTACATTATTTTATAGAGGTTTTACTATATAAAAAGAGGGTACTGTTTGGCAGATTTCTTCCTTAGAGATAGATCTAAACACATATCCGACGATTTTAATGTGATGCGCTTACGAGAAATGCAAACCAATAATGAAGACATCTATGACCAGATCAACATTATATTTGGTCCGGTTTAAATGTCAATTCGTCCACCTTTTAAAGTATTTATAAAATATATGAACCAAAAATCGAATCAACATCATATTCGGTCCGATCCAAATGTTAATCATGTCAATTTTTTATTAGTATTTATAAATCATGAGACCAAAATTTTGGCCCATTATATTCGATTTGATATTGGTCGAGTCTCCAGTCCAATGGTCGGTTTGATATGCGCGGTCCAAACCGTTCCACACGCTATGCGCACCTAATCAAGGACGCAGCCCTCGTATATATTAACCAGAAGACTTCTCAATTAGGTTTTTTAACAAACGCTTTTCTGCATCGGTTCTTGCGACTCTCTCTAGAACTCTCTGTTCGTTTCTTCGCCGCTATCTCTATACATCATGGCTCGCCGGAGCTCTGGAGGTCTGTTCTCCTTTCAGATCTGCTTTTACATTTATAATTTCTTACGACACTATCTTTATAATAGGTTCATTTCACGTCTTCGTGTGATGGCTTGGGTTTCAGTTTAATATGTCGTTCTTCTACTTTGATTATGTTGCGAATTCGTTGAGTTAATTGGTTCATGAGATTTGAGGAAGAGGAATAGTAAATATCTATCATTTTTTCCCGATCTCGTATGGCTGAATCGTCATCGATTTCCTCTATATTTCTCGCGAAATGAAGATTGAGTCTCATGCTTGGGGTTCTTAGTTCTCTGTTTCCTTCTGCTGCAGTCCTTTCGCGTTGTTTTATTCGGGATGTCGATACTTATGAAATGGTGCTTAATGAATGTAAAAATCATCTGCCAAAATCGATTTGAAAATTTTCGGAGAATAAATTGTCTAATCGTCGTTGGTTTGTGCCCACGGTTGGGTGTTCGTTCTTGTTTCTATGTCATGCTTTTACTCTGCTTATCATCGCGATAAATGGTCATCGAGTGAGCGATGCAAGGGTCGGCGAACTAGTTTATTACCCCTGAATCTCTATTGAGGATCTGTTATGGAACTGAAGTCAGATCGTGAAAGGGTAACTTGCTGTGGTAAAACCTTCTGTTTACCCTTGAATATGTGAAGTTTATAAACTACTTTGAGTGGGTTTGAACTTCAAGCTTCTAAGGTGGTTTGATCATTGATGTTGCGAAGTTGGTTCATTGTTTTGCACCCTAGAAGCTGCAGGAAGACTCTCTGATACAATTTTGTTGTTTTTTTGTTTCCAGTTTATTTTGATCCTCCTTTGAGTAGCTGATACCTCGTGTTTCGTCTGTTGAAAAATATACACTGCTGTTACTGCTTGGTTTCTTTTAGGGTTTTCTTAAGAACCTTTCACGTTGAATTGTGTTGTCTGTCCTCATTAGTTCTGATGTTATTCTTTCAGTAATTTAGCTTTTGAACGAGAGCTTGGGCAAACCTAAGCTATACTGTGAATTTTTTCTACAGGTAGATCTGCTCCTAGGGCAGCTCCTCGTCGTCCAGCACCTCAACCAGGTATAGTTGTGTTGACCATTATGTCCTTTAGTGGCCTGTTAAACATGTATATGTTAGAATTTTTTTGTGCGTTGCTTCTTTCTGGGTTATGTTTTGGCATTCGACACAACAGAATTGACATGTTTTAACTTTTTGTTTCTATGACCTTTTGCAGCAAATCGAGCTACTCCTCCTGCTGTTGCTCAGAGCAGTGGTGGCGGCTCATTGCTTGGAGGGATTGGCTCCACCATCGCTCAAGGTAGGTGAAGAGTACAAGTGTTTATTTGTTGTTGCATCCTTCATAATCTCTAGCACAGATTCTCCATTACAGCCGGTGAACTTTTTCTTCTTGCACTTTTTGTGTCATCTAGGGATGGCTTTTGGCACTGGGAGTGCAGTGGCCCATAGGGCTGTTGATGCTGTGATGGGGCCCCGTACTATTCAGCATGAAACTGTTGTCGCTGAGGCTGCTGGTATCCCTGCACCCACTGCGAGCAACATGTCTGTTGACGGGTGCGGTATTCATTCCAAGGCTTTCCAGGATGTAAGTGTGCCTCTCTTTCTACGTTAAAACTGAACTCTGAAGCAGAAACCAGATGTTTAGTGATATCGATTGGGTTGGTTATTTTTGCAGTGCCTGAACAGCTCCGGCAGCGAAATCAGTAAGTGCCAGTTCTACATGGATATGTTGGCCGAGTGCAGAAGGAACTCTGGTTCTGGGTTGAGCGCCTAAATGCTCTTTCTTATTGTCCTCTCGTCAGTTGTCTATTTGTGCACCTTGAGGGTGAAACACGAAGTATGTCTTTTGCTATTTGTTGAGATACTATTTAATAACGGCAGACTTGAGTAAGGGAGCCTGATGAATTAGATCATTGAAGGATATTCCAATTATGGTTTCGTAGTTCCTTTCCTTCAGATTGATTGGTCTCGCTTACGCGTCAATGGTTTGGTTCCCACTTGTAGTTCTGGATATATTTTGTTTCGGTCTTCGGAATTTATCAATATTGAACAAAATATAAGATCGAAGACGAGATCAACTTGGATAATGTCTGACCGAATATAGTCACGGTCTTATTCTTTGATCCTCTGTTTTGTTTTACTATTAGACTGTGATTTTTATGGTTTAATTGGGGTTTTCGTAATGATTATGTCTTCTTGGTTTGTTAGAAGCAAATGGGGATGTAGGATTAATATTTAATCATAGGTTGTGCAGTTGTGTATTATTGTGTTTAGGCTCTTTACTTTACGTATGTTAATTATTGATGGCTGAGAATCTTTTTGAGAATAACTCACTATTTATACTCTTTACCATAGAGGTAATAGATAGTAGATTGTGGTTAGTATATTTTTACCACCATATTAACATAATTTCTATATTTCTATAACAATGTTATATTTTCATATCACCATGTTGTATCATTAAACTTAAAATCGTTATATAGAGGAATTTTACAATGCTATATAACATTGGTGCTATAGATTTTTGTCTTTATGGTACAACTTGAAATTGTATCTTTAACGTTACGGTACAACTTCAGATTGTATCTATACTTTTTGTACAAATTCTTTTATGGTACAACTTAAACTTGTACCTTATGTGATGGTACAACTTCAAGTTGTAAAGTTGTACCATAACATAATGATACAAATTCCTTTATGGTACAACCTAAACTTATACATTTAATGTTATGGTACAACTTCAAGTTGTACATTAAAGCACCAATGCTATATAGCATAGTAGAAGTGCTCCGTTATATAATATAGCAAAAATGCATTGTTTATATTAAGGTGAATGTCATTTGTAAAGCGTAATCAATCTAATTTTTTATGGTTAATTGATTGCTTGGTCACTGAGATTACAAAAAATGTTCATGTTTAATCACTGGAAATATTTAAATCCAATCATGGTCACTCAAATTAGTTAAATGGTTCAAGTTTGGTCACTCTCCGTTTAACTCCGTTAAATTTGTCTGATGTGGCAGTCAACCCTCAAAGTTGTCTGACGTGACAATTAAAAAATAATAAATAAAATAAATTTTAATCTTCTACTATTTTCAACTCATTTTCACAATAAAGTAAAATAAATAAAAAAATAATAAATTATTATAATCACAAATTGAAAGAGTAGCTTCCGTCGCGCCGCCGCCCATCACGATCCTCTCCGAAAACCACGGCGCCGTTAAAAGAGGGGGCGGCAGTGCAATCGCCGGAGGCTGCTGCTGTTTTTGGTGTTGAGGATGATGATGAAGAACGCTCGTTGACTCGTTAATCATCGGCTTGCCAGAGGATGGAGAGACGGAAGAGGTTCTAGGCGTGTTCCCGCCGGAAGTCGGACGAGAACCTCCGTCGCCACTGTTAGTGTTGTGGTATATGATCCACGATTGAACCTCTCCCAACAACTCGAGTTATTGGGACCAACTGGTTCTTGACATGGTATCAGAGCCTTCTGTGACCGAGAGGTCTTGTGTTCGATTCCCGGTGACCCCCATTTGTTAAGCACATGGTATTCTTGTCTTCAGACCTGTGCAAACTTCAAGCCCTTGTGAGTGGCTTTCGTTTGAGGGGGCGTGTTAGTGTTGTGGTATATGATCCACGATTGAACCTCTCTCAACAACTCGAGTTATTGGGACCAACTGGTTCTTGACAGCCACCGCATCCGTCTTTCTCTCTTCGGTTTTCTTTTTTTCCTTTCTGCAACCGGCACCCAGACGGCACCGTCTCGTCTACCCTTTCTTTGCCGCGTTCAAAACGGACAATCGCTTCTTCTTCAACGAAGAAAACTTCCGGTGAAGTCTGGACATAGACCAGATTATTTAAATTAACATTTTATTTTCCGGTCGCCACCTTCTCTCCTCTCCACCGGCGGAGCTGAGGTGGAAGTAGGTGGAGGATTACTGCTAGAGGAAAGGTTGCTTCCGCCACCGAGTTATAATTTATTGTGATTATAATTTAATTTAATTTAATTTATTTTATTGTGAAAATGAGTTAGAAATGATAGAAGATTAAAATTTATTTTAATTATTATTTTTTAATTGTCACGTCACCGAGTTAACGGTCAACTTTGAGGGTTGACTGCCACATCAGACAAATTTAACGGAGTTGGACGGAGAGTGACCAAACTTGAACCATTTAACTAATATGAGTGACCAAGATTGGATTTAAATATTTTCAGTGACCAAACATGAACGTTTTTTGTAATCTCAATGACCAACCATGCAATTAACCCAATTTTTTATGTAGAAATTCAGAAATTTGAATTAAACCGAGTAGAAAACAACTCGTTACATTTTAACAGGGAAGGAGTAGCCTAGCCATAAATTACTTGCATATTATATTTTAGATCCACCACAATGTGTGTATATGCTTTAGGGGTGGTTTGACTTTGATGATTGTTAAAATGATGTATTGTTATCAATGCATGCATAATAATATACATAATAATATACATGTATATAAGAAAATTGGTGTATTGTACTTTATATTGTTTTGTTTGTGTGATAATTATTGTAGTAACACAGTTTGAACATGGACGAAATCAACTCATTGTGAGGAGTAGGGATGGCAGTGAGGAGGGGCCAGGTCCCCTAAAATTTTAAATATAGCTTGGGTGCACATGATAATCAACAAAAGGTTGTGGCGTATTGGCTATTTGGCTTTGTTCTACTATTTTGCAATTTCAAATATGAGTCTAGGGGTTTGACTCCTCTTGTACGCCGTTTTCCATCCCATTTGTTAGCTATTGTGGTCTGTCTCGAGTGAGAATTCTAACGGATCAATTGGATTGATTCAATTGTAATTTGGTCAAATTGATTCGTTTGACAACACAAAATTTAGACGAAGCAATTCTACTTAGGAAATTTCAAATCGACACATTTTAAGGCAATTGCAATTGTTTAGTGTGGAAGCATACAATTAATTGACTCGTTTTATGAAAAGAAAATTGGCCAAATTATCTTGCTCTTCAATTGATCCATCCAAACGACCTATTTTTTTAGTATCTTCTTGTTGTTTTTGATTTAGTACTTGTGAACAACAACAATTTGAATTACGGTTTATTCCTTCTATGTTCTCAATAAATTATTGTCGCCTTTATAAAAATGTGACTAGTAAACATGATTTTAAACTTATCAAAGTAAAAAATGAATTTCAAAATTATAAAAGAAGGAAAATTGTGAAAATTATTACACACAATATATTTTCTTATAACCAAATTTCACAACGAATATGATAGAATATATCTAGACTCCATAAATATGTCCGCATTTATTTTTAATTTAAAATATGATTTATTTGTTGAATTTCTCATTGTAAGAAAAAAAATTGGCCGCTCCTAACATATAATCCTAGCTCCATCCCCGAGTTGGAAGAAAGAAAAAATCCAACAATCTCACAAAAAACTTGAATTTTAACTATCACTCATTTTGAGTGATAGTTTGTGTCACATCAAGCAGACAATGAATGTATTGTTTGTGTAGAAAATTCAGAAAACATTGAATTGTGGACAATACATGCGTTATAACTATCCCAACCAAACTATCATCAAAACTAAACGACCCCGGTGATTGGTCTCTTATTGAAGAAAATTTTTACAAGACTCGATAATATGCTACTCTACTACACCTAGTCAAGCCAAATGTAACTCAACTAGGTGTTGTAGTATAGTGATGATTGATGTCGTATCTCTAGGGTCAAGAATCTCAACTACTTCAAAGGATTAAAATTGTGTAGGTTTTGTTGTATTTGGGATTTAATCCCCCTCCTTAGATTGATGGAATTTGCAATGCAATGGATATTCAATAGTTCGATTATTGCGTTGCAAGGTAATAACTACTAAGGCAATTGGGTCAATCCATACATCCAATTGCCGTCCTAGCTATGATAGTCAACTTTATTGTCATGCAATTAACCACCATAGCCAGGAATATGCTCAATCCACTTTAATGAAATTAAACCTATAAGGCTATAACCACACAATTAGATAACCGGTTGGTCATTCAATTACTTAAGTTGCACTAACTGATCATAGCCCCTACTTGAACTAATTGCATGGTCGTCTACGTTAGGTCAAGCCTCTAAGTCATTACCCACGTATAAGCAAGACATGGATAAGACATTAAGCACATCAATTAGACAAGAAGTCATTATAATTATCAAGATTCAAAAGGCACTAGGCAAAAGGCAGGCATTGAGGCTTTGCCTAACTCGTCTAGGCGTAGACTAAGCGCTGGAAGAAAATAGCTATTTCGCACTGCATGATGGATGAAATAATAGACTCATAGCTCAATAGCTCACAAAATTCTTGAGTAATTTAAAATATTGATATAGAAAATTGATTTCGTAGTTAACGTTAATTTTTTCCTTTAATATTGATTTCCTAGCTGCATCTAGTAATGTTTAGGAGAGACTTATATGTTGCCCTATTTCATTGACGTGTTTCAGTATCTAATTAGACGTGAAACCCCTAGGCGAGACGTTTTGCCATTGTCTTGCGCCTAGGCGTGCCTAAGTGTAAGGTTAAGCGTGCCTTTTTGAACCATGATAATTATAACCAAATCATTATGTTACATACAAAACCTAAGCTAGATTAGAGGTTCGTACCCCATATAACTAAGATGTTACCCCATGTGCGAGGGAGGAGAACACAAAAAACATAGGAAGAAACCATAAACTTGAAGCTCTTGATGTTGGAAAAATCAGCGCCAATGGCTTCAAGTCGGGAATCATAATTCAAGGGTTGAGATGGAAAATTGGGAATGAGAGTGATGTTCAAGCTATTTAGGATGCTTGGCTAATAACCACTCATATGTCAAGACCTCAATTGCCACGAGGGATCACCCCATATGCAACAAGAGTATAATTAGCTTCATCAAACAAAAATCTAAGAGTTAGAATCTAGGGGTTGTGCGTCTATGGCATATGGTGGGGTTATCCCATTATCTACCTTTCCCTGAAACTTCTGATATGTCACTCTTTCTGCGTCGATTGTTGCTCCCTTCGTCGTTCAGTTTGTCAGACAATGACTATTTGGTTTTCTAGATCACATCGATTTTATGGCAATTATGGTGCACCGTCTAGT